CATTGCTCTGCGGTACGTAAAGCAATATGCGTGTGGGGGGAACGTATCGGTCCGGACTCGAGTTGGCCGTGGCGCCAAGAGTCCCTGGTGCTGTCAACATCATGAGAACAGTATAATCTTGATCCGGGTCCATGAATTTCAGCGGGGACGATGCACGCGGCAACGGCACAACGTCCGCGGTAACGTCCTTTGATGGTTTTAGTTGCCGTCCCCTCGGAGACGGGGATTTCTCCTTCTTGTCGTCTACATCCTCCAGCCACTTCTCCAATGCGTCCCGGCCATCCACCACCCCCGCCGCTACCACTGCAGGGGACGGATCCTGTGCGCGTGTGGGAGTTTTACGGCGGGCTGGCTGCGGCTCCCTCCCCAACAAAAGGATCACGTCATCGTCGGTAAGAGCGGCAATGCAAAGCCACGAGGTGTTGATGTCTTGCAGTAAGATATGACGACCGAGCGGCACCACACGCAGAAAATGCTCCTTCACTGTTCGTGCTCCCTTTCCACTCCCGTCTTTATCATGATATACGCGGTGAAGATGTAGGAGCTTTCCCGTACAGCCGCTCAGACTCCAAAAACGAAGTCGCGGCCGGCCAATCGTAAAGCTCAGCGGCAGTTCCTCGTGAAAGGGAACACGCATCATTGCAACACCAATGTCGCATACATCTTCCGGAGCTCCCTCCCGCAGAATGGGGGTCTCGCTAAGCACGATGGCTCGTGGTGGCGAGAAACACCAGCGGAAACGGAAATGCGAAACGTGCATTTCCGCCTGTCCCTCCGAACCATAGGCACGCGAGGAGATGTAAATACTCATGACAAGATTCCCAGGCTCGATGGGCACGTCGCAGCATTGCCTGCAGTAAACCTGGCAAGGGCCAAGGAGACAGACATTTGTAGCCATACCGGCATCAAGACGATATGATCGCAGCACAGAGCCGGTACCATTATCCCTGCCTCCACAATCACCAGTAATATCTTTGCCCCGCGATCTTAACGTTCCGTTATTCTTATTGGAAGAAAAAAGCGGGGCATCGTCGCCGCCAATGCGATCACCCGCACCATCCTCGTCGGTGTTGTTGTTGTTGTTACTTTTATTATCCTTCCTGTTGCTATTTTCCTCGCAGAAGATGACGTCCGGAGATTCTTCTTCATTCCTGTCATCAGTGAGCGTCTCATTGGTGGGCGGAGACGCAGAAACAGGCGTGGATGTGGGTGCAATCAGCTTCACCGCATGATCATGTTCAACGTCAAAGATGACCACCTCACCCACCTCATCCACACTCACAACAAACGGCTGGTAATGTCTACTGCCCGGTTTCGCATCCATCGCAACAAGAGCAAAATGAAGCGCCACCACCCTGTTCTTTGCGTGCAACTCGTGGTGAAGCAAAAAGTGAGCAGCGGTGCTCAATACACAAACGCTAAAATGCGTGCGGTCGCTACCGCATGCCACGGCCAGATATCGATTCCACTTCAGCGGAAGGACGCGTTCCCGGCTAAATACCGACTCCGCACCGACACACAGATACGCATCCTGAAGCTGGAAACTATCTCTGCTCTCAACAGCCTCCCACATCCCCGTACGCATGTCAGGAGGATTATCGCCACCCACACAATTGTTTTCCCCGTCACATGTGCCGCCAGAACTCCTGGCGCTCGCCATATTTGGCGCAGTAAGATAACGTTGACGGTATACACGGATGCCGTTTCGATGTGCTGTCACGAGCAATCCCCCCGCAATACACATGGAACGCAGTCGGCGGTTGGGAAAGGGCTCAAGCAGAATAGTCGTCGGGCGTCGCGGGTTTCGAAACATCGGCACGTGATCGGCGTAGTTCTTCCGAGAGGTCGGACGGCGTTTTCTCTCTTTTTCCGACAAAACACCTCTGCGAATTCGCCGCGAACCCGACCGTCGGCCGCTAGACGATACCGACGTGGATCGGGACGAAGCACTACTGCTGCAGCTCTCCTTGCTAGTCGTGGAATCCATGTCTATTTCCCGTATCTGTGGGACAGAAAATAAAAACTCCCCCTGCATTGTGCATCACCCCACCCCTTTCCCCTTCTTATGACACGGTGCAGGAACCTACAAACACAAACGAATAAAGTATGCAGCTGTGTATGTGTTAGACTTTGTGTGTATACCACAGATGTCGACTCTCCTCACCCTTTTTTCTTTCCCTCTCTCTCTCTTTTTCTCTTGGATATATAAATAAATATATATTTATATTATTACAGTGAACGTTTGTCTTGCAAGGAGAGTGAAAAATAGCCTTCCTGCAGTACTGCACACACACACACATGTGTGTGTATATTTATGCAAGAAAAAAAAGGCAAAAAAAAAAAAAAAAGGAAAGTTGGTTTCGTGTTTGTTTTATAAATCGGTGAGTAACGGTGGAGTTGCGTGAACAGTTTTATCGTGTCATCCGCACCAGCCTCTCTCCACAGCCATCAGTTCACCGAAGCACATTGAGATCCCACACAAACCGAAAAAAAGCAGCAAAAGAAAGAAAGAAGAAGAAAAAAAAAAAAACCGACGGAAGTCAAAAATAAATGCGCATGTTTGATCGCTTTTGTTTCTTCTCTTCTCCCTGTCGTCATTGTGAAGCCCACACTTCCACCGCTTGCCCCGTCGCCCACGGGGTCAGAAGTGCGGGCGGTCGATAAGGGAGGAGGATCGAGAAATCCGCTTTGCGGGAGCGGGCAAGGATGTCATCAAAGTCGCGAAGAAAATCCCCATCACCACTGCCGCTGGCCCCGCCTCTCTTCCCCCCACGCCAGGCGTGCGCACTCATCGAAAGCGCGGCGGTGGCCGTAGAAAACAAATTCGCAGCACAAAAAGGGGCAGACATGCCATCCGTCGCTGCCGTTTCTGAGGGATAACATGTGGGCGGTTGCGGTGTCTTGCACGCCGCTGTCGTGGAGCACTCGACATCCTGCAGCGGCAGCGGCGGGGCCGGCGCCTCCCCCACAAGCCCTCCCAAATATTGCTCCTTCAGTCGTTGTATTAAACCCGCTGCCGTTTCCTTCCCGCCCCTCTTCGCCTCCTCCTCGTGTGCCCGTACAATCAGCTCCAATTCCACGATCCGCGTCGGGTCATATTTTATCAGCAGCCCATGAATGAGTTTTCGCAATGCGATGTCACCTTCAGTCAAGTGTGTGGTGTACATCTGCTTCGCCTCATGAAGCTTTGGCTCTGGCCCCAGAAAGGCACAGTAGTAACTCACAGCACACACGCCATCATTATTGTAGTCTCGCAGGATGTCGTCAACATCCTTCAGCAAATGCGGGGCGTACATGCCGAATAACGCAAGCAATCGTTGCCGCGGTGTCAGCCGCAACACCGCAGAATCATCATCACCATCACCTTCTTTAGGGAAAGAACGGCGACAGCAGTTACCCATGCCTACTTGCCCACATGCAGATATTGACACGCCACCCCTCTATCCTACAAAACTGCTCCCTTCCCTTCTCCCTCACCGGTTCCTCCCGCCCAATCCTATTAAAGATGACCTAAATCAAGACACACACAGACAGAGAGAGAGAGAGGGAGAGGGAGAAAGAGGGAAAAAAGCCGTGTATTATTATGGCATACAGCACCACACCGCGGAAAAACATGCATGCATTTCCCTCACGCACTTCCAACCAAAACGGCAGCAACAATTTGTTGTTGTTTTTGTTTTTCGTCCCCTTAGCATTGATAGAGAACAGCAAAAATTGAGAGAAACCGAATTGCCCGTAGGCAACACCAACTCGTCAACAAACAAAAAAAAATGCGCCGATAGCAATACGTCAACAAAAAGGGATCCAAAAAAAAAAATAAAAGCGCCCTCTTCACATGCCTAACAGCGTCAATAAATCCCCAAATTCCCCCCTCCCCACGCGTCGCCACCAAATACAGAAAAAAAAAAAAAAAAGGCACAAAGAAACGGAAGAGAGAAAGAAAAAAAAAAAGAAGCCCCTCCCCCTCTCAACAACCACATAAGTAAATTTATACCACCCTCCATTGAACCTCCCAATGCACACACACACGCACACACACACACACACCGGCGGATATACATACCCTCTCAATCCCCATACAATACGCACACACACACACACACAGAACATATACCCCTTGTATAAGCACCTTCTCACTCACCCGTTCGCTCATTGTTCCTCGTCTTTTTCTTTTTTCCTTGTGTGTGTTTGTCTTTCAATGAAGTTCCTTCTATAAGCACGCCTTTAATTTTGCCCCATCGGTAGGTGCGAGCAACAATATTCGAAACAAGACCACCGGCCCCAGCCCTCATCACACCCTAAACATCATCCGTATACGGTTCAAAAAAAAAAAAAAAAGAACAGTGGGTAAGTAAGTTCCTTCAAATACATATACGCTTAAACATGACACGCATTTGCGCAAAAAGGATCCAAGGACAAAAAGAGAAAAGAGACAAGGGACAGTGACTCCATTTTTAAGCCTTCATGTGGATGCAGGCACCAAAATTGGGTTGAAAGGGCTAAAAGGAAAAGAAAGAAGGAAAATTGCTCACCTCCTTCCAATCACATGGCGGCTGATCACGAGACGTTGAATTTGACTCGTTCCCTCGTAGATAGAAAAGATCTTTGCGTCTCGGTACAATTTCTCCACGGGATAACCCGTGTTGAAGCCGTTTCCCCCAAATATCTGCACAGCAGCCGTCACGCACCTCTCGCAGTGCTCAGCAGCAAATAGCTTTGCAGATGACGCGTAGTACGTGTTGGAGCGGCCCTGGTCAACCTCCCAGGCGGCGCGATACGCCAACAAACGGGCCGCCTCAATCCCGGCAGCCATGTCTGCCAACATGAACGCAATCGATTGATGCTCCGAGACATATTTTCCCATCGCTTTACGCTGATTGGCGTAGTCCCGCGCCTCCTCCATCGCGCGTTGGGCGACAGCCACCGCGCCAATTGCCACAGGCGGACGAGTAAAGTCAAAGGCACGCATCGCAATCTTAAACCCATCCCCAGGCTTTCCAAGTACATTTGCCTCGGGAATGACAACATCCTCAAAGACAATCCCACGCGTGTCACTGCAGCGTTGGCCCATATTGATCTCCTTTTTCCCAGGTGTAATTCCCGGTGTGTTCGCATCCACCACAAAACCAATAAATCCCTCATCCGAGTTGGCAAGCAAAAAGTACCAGTTCGCAACGCCACCGTTCGTTATCCACATTTTTTGCCCATTAACCACATACGCATCACCCTTCTTCTTTGCAAAAGTCTTGATCGCCGCCACGTCTGAGCCGGCCCCGGGTTCCGTAACACAATACGCCGATTTCAGCGGTTCCTCTAACATGCGTCCAAGAAATTTCTTCTTTTGGGCGTCGTTACCAGCGATGATGACAGGTGCCTGGGAAAGATTGTTCGCCTCAAAAGCTGTAGAGATGCCGGAGCAGCCCCATGAAAGCTCCTCATGCACAATTACACCCTCCAGGCAAGAAGCGCCAAACCCGCCGTATTCCTGTGGAATATGCATGTTTATAAGTCCAAGCTCCCACGCCTCCTTGAAGAGATCGTGTGGATACTCCATTGTCTGGTCAAGCTTGGCAGCAACCGGGATTATCTTCTCCTTGGCAAAGCGGTGGGCGAGATCCCGGACCTCCTTTTGCTGCTCAGAGAGCTCAAAGCAGATGCCAGGGCCGGTGGCACCTGCGGTCGAAAGGCAGCGCGCAGTACGCCGCATGAATATGTGCGATGCACGACGAAACATGGCCCCAGACACACGCGCCTTTCTTCTTTTGTGTATCTTTTTCTCCTTCGTTCCACTGACAAATTTATTTCCCCTTTTGTTTCGGCGCAACTGCCGTGATGGGCCGTACAAAACAACTTGCGGTCGTGCGTTTCAAAGTTAAAAGGCATGAATGGAAGACGGGGTAAATTTAAAAAGAAAAAAACAGCGACGACGGCAAGCCCAAATCCAGGCAAAAAAAAAAAAAAAGGCATCCTTCACAGTAAAGAAATACACACGCGCGGCGGAAAAAAAAAAAGAAGAAAAAAAAAGAGAAATAACAGTGCCATGCTTTGTGGACGCTTGTTTCCGTGTCTTGTTAACACGCAGCCCCTTCATCCCTCCCCTCAACGCTCCTTTTTTTCTTCCACATGTCTTCCATTGCTCCTTTTTCGTTTTCTACAAGAGCGAAAAGTACTCATCGCCTATAGTCCACAGCTGAACCGCCCGCACAGACGTCGTCGGCTCACCGCCCTCCAAATGCACGTCATTTGGCAGATCAAAAACAGCAGCATCCCCATCCCCCCCGGGCCGTGCGTTGAGCAGAAGAAGGGATTCACGAATTCCAAACGTTGGGCAAAACGTGCTGCAAGACACACTAGCAAAATCTGAGTGAAGAAAGAGTGCGGGGCCCTTGCCACCGCCCCCAAAAGTAATAGCACCGTTGTCGCAGCGCATAAAGTAACGATTCGCGGCATCTGCAGGGGCCGTAAAGATGCGAAGATCATCCTCCGACGACGAAGCGGACGAGGAAGAAGAAGACGGTGACGGCACGCAGAAAAGAAAACTTTCTTCGGTCCCGACGTATTTCTTGTTTGACGTCTGTGGGATGCAGGAAATGTACGCCCCCAGCAGTATCTTCCCTTCACTTCCAGCGGAAACTATTAAAACCGCAGGTCGCTCGTTACCCCGCGCACTCCTAATCTCTTCAGCGCAGTTGTGTTGTAGCGCAAGACGCGAAAATCCGTGAAGGCCGCTGCAAAATAAAAGACGCCAGCGTCGGCCTTGAAATCGCGGCGGTACGTGTTCCTGCAGCTTGAGGAACTGCTTCCCAGTGATTGGGATGCTCGGCTTAATCGCGGTTTCACGCTTCAAGTACACATCGGGTGGCACCTCCTCCAGCGCCACACCCACATCAAACGGGGGCGCTGGTGTCGCTTGCATTCCCTCCGCGTCATCATTCCTGTCAAAATACATAAAAGAAATGAACCGTGTGAACAGGCCGCCCATCTGGTAAAACTCTTCTCCCGGAAACACCGCTCCCACCCCCCACCACCTGGGCGGATGTGCACGTCCCTTCTCGTTTTGTTTTTTGTTGTTTCTCCTTGGTCCCTCCCCCTCCAGTGATCCCCACAGATGGACACACGGTGTCATCCACAGGCAGGGAGCCCAAACCAAAAAGTAAAATGAGTGCAGAAAAAAAAAAAAAAAAAGTGGTCCCCCACCAGAGAAACCACCACGCAGACAGTTCAGGCGTATTACACACAAACACACACGCACACATGGATAGAACCAGTAGTACACCACATGCAGACAAAACATATATATCTTTAGTACGTCTCGCTGCCTCAAGGCATTATAATATTTATTGCGCATAAAAATATAGAAGGGCAAGATGTAAACTGGGCAAGAAATAAAAAATAAATAAAAGAAAATAAAATAAAAGCGACAGCCGCGAAGAAGTGGAAAATCAAAGCGATTTATTGTAAAGACCATCATTTAACCGGAACACAACTAAAGTAGAAGAAAAACAAAAAAAAAAAAACCCGGCAAAAACAGGACGCTGCGCAAATACAAACAACATTCATAAACGGTTGTATTCTTGCATCAACATGAGCCACGCACACGGGATGTATATAAACAAATTAGCCAACAAGCTAAAAAAAAAAAAAAAAAAAAAACAAGAATGAAGAGCCCACAACTCCACAAGGAGTAGCCCCCTTACCACTAACGCACAACGCATCCTTTTTTTTTTTTTTTTTTTTTTTTCATTTTCTTATTCTTGTGTATATTACCTCTCCTTCTATACCTCTATGAGTTCTCATTTTTTGCCCTTATTCACTTTCTCACATGCCTCCTTTTCGGTTTTTATCGCATCATTATCTGTTGGTGTTGTCTTTGCTGGTGATGCTGCTGCTTCTGCCGTGGGACACAGATGGATATGAACCGTCACGCGATCCGAGGAAAAGTGGCATTGGAATTTAAGCTCCTCCCCCTCTGTGAATACAACCGGCGTTGGAAACGGGCCGTTGGCAGCATCCAGTAGCTGCAACGCCTGACCCCACTGCATATCACGCGGGAAGTTGTTAAGCGTGTCAGCCGGATCTGTCGACATGACAAGATCGCCATCAAAAGCCTTCCAGTAGTACAACATCGCATGTGCCGTCCCGCTACTAGTTGCCTTGACATCTAATTTCAAATTCATGGGGATGTCACGACGAACAGCGGACGCAAAATCCACGGAGAAGAGGGCTATCGGCTCGCTCAGGCGGCGGAAGGGAACACTGCTCATGCGAAAGCCGTACTGCTTCGCAAACACAATGCTGACAGTGTCCTGTAGTGCCGTCATGTGGCTCAATTCAAGCCCCTTCCATCCCGACACCGCACACACATCCCGCAGTGTGTCACACTCTATCGGAACCGCGTACTGTGTTCCATGCTGTGGAATAATCTTCGTCGTTGGCTTCAGCAGCCTCTCACGTACATCGGCAATATAGTCGAGAGCCGACTCCCCTAATAGCAGCGTCCCAAGAATCTCCGACACCATGACATCCGGTCTATCTGGCAAATGACGCAGTGTCAGTTCTGTACTCAACATGTGCAAAACAGTCACTTTGTGTTCCATTTTGTTTGCACAAATGTTGGCGCGTGCCAACTTTGCCATCTCAGCGCTCCCCTCAACAGCCACGACCCATTTTGCGCCCAACTGAGCGGCCATTAACGACAGGAGACCCGACCCCGCACCAATCTCCAAGACACCCGTTTCGGGTGTCACATGACGTTTCAGGAGCTCATAATAAAATTCATTGCGGGGCCGGTCGTTCATCATGGCAAAGTGAAAGTCGTTCACCGCCTCCACGAGTGAAGTTGGCGCATGCCGCAGACGCCGTGGAACAGGAAAATTTTGTGGAAAGCGGTACATAAAGGTATCCGCGTGGTGTGCCGATGAATTCTGGACAGCAGAAGCGCCGGGGGGAATGAAGCCAATGTCACGCCGCGCCGCGCTCCCGTTGCCTCCGGTGGAAGGCCGCTTGTGGCCATTCGACCCTTTCTTCTGTTTATTATGCCACCTTGCAGGCATCTTGTTTTCTCCCTTCAAGAGGCGTCAATATACTCCTTTTCGTGTGTAACCTAGTTTGCGTATGATTCCAGTCTCCTTTCTTATTATTCCCGTTGCCGTTTATTAATCTCAAATATCCTTTTTTTTTTTTTTTTTATTCCGCCTTCCTGCTGCTTTATTATTATTATTGTTATTATTTGGGGGTGGTGAGCAAATATTTATTTAGTTACTTCCTTGTGTGTGTGTGTGTTGTGTTAAACCACCCACTCACCCACTGTCCCCCCTTCCACAAGATTCTGCAAAAACAGCCATGCCATGAGCGTTTTTAAGAAAAAAAAAAAAAAATTTATAATAAAACGCAATCGGACGTTGGAATTCAAATACACATGTATATAACACATATATAAGAAGCAGACATCATCCATTCCGCCCCCCCCCCCCCCCCAAATAATAATAATAATAATTAAATAAATAACCCCCAAAGAGTTCCGCAAAGTAACTTTAAAAAACAAAAACAAAATAAAACCCAAAACACCTCGTGTATTGTTGACCGTTTTTCTTCAATCAGCCCATAATGTCATATGTTTATGCATACAAACGCGTGTGTTTTATCTTTTTTTTTTTTTGTTTCTTCCCCAGACGTGTACATATTTCCCTTGCACGTCTGTCTATATATATATATATATATATATGCATTTCTGTGTCTATGTAAGAAATTATGCTGGCTTTGTCCACTTCATTGGCCCTCTTCAACGTCCGTCTCTTCGTATCGCCTTTTTACGGTCCCCACGTACTACTTTCGGCTCCCCGTTTCTGGCGCGCACGATTTGAAAGGTTTTCCTAAATGACTAAACCGCCATCTTCATGGAGATGGGAGGGTATGGCGCATAGTCAATGACCTCCATGTCACCCTCCTCGTAGTCCTCCAGGAACTCGCGCTCGCGGCGAAACACAAGATACGGAAAGGCACGTGGCACACGTTTCAGTTGCTCATTGCACGGCTCGACGTGATTGCTGTACACGTGAGCGTCACCAAGGGTGTGCACCAACTCTCCCGGCCGCAGCCCCGTCGCCTTTGCGATGAGGATGGTCAAGAGGGCGTAGGAGGCAATGTTGAACGGGACGCCAAGGCCCATGTCACATGAGCGCTGGTAGAGCATGCAAGACAGTTCCCCATTGCTCACGTAAAACTGTGCGAGCAGGTGGCACGGTGGTAGGGCCATCCTGGGCAAAGCGCTCGGATTCCATGCCGTGAATAGCATCCGGCGATCGTCAGGATTTGTCTTTAGCGTTTCAACGATTGCCTTGATTTGATCCACACCCTGTCCGTCATAGTTGGCATCATGGTGTGTGTAGGCGGCACCAAAGTGACGCCACTGAAAGCCGTAGACAGGACCGAGGTCCATCTCCTCGTACTCTGTGAGGCCACGACTGTCAAGAAACGCGCGCGAGCCGTTGTCGTCCCATATGTGGACTCCCTTGTCACTTAACTTTTTGGCATATGTTTCGCCCCGTAGAAACCACAGCAGTTCCTCGCACACACCGCGCCAAAAAACCCGCTTCGTTGTCAAAAGTGGTAGGCGATTGTTGCGGAGCGAGAAACGCATCTGTGCGCCAAAGATGGAGAGCGTGCCCACCCCAGTGCGGTCATGCTTCACATTCCCCTCGCGTATGATGCGATCCACAAGGCTTAGATACTGCTCCTCCTCTCTGTTGCGTGGGATGAGCTTCTCAAAGTAGTACTTTGTCTCGTTGCCGTTTGCCGACGTGAGCTCCTCGGAGATTGTCTCCCGCTGCCACTCAATCCCCGCCGCCGCCTCCGTACCCGACTCGGGAACGCGAAAAAACACGCTGCAAGAAGACTCGCTGGCGCGGATGGTGGTGCGGTAAATGGCTTGCAGCAAATGAACGCACGGCGGGCGAAGGGCCTCCGCATACACAGAGCCGCCACCAATGCAGTAGACCGTCTCAATGCTCGGCGTGTAATTGGGGGACGCGAGCAACCGCAATGCCTGCTCGAGTCCACCATTTACCGCCACAATGCTGTCGGCATGCAAATTCCGTTTTTCTTCGTCTGGCAGGCCGTCCAAGAGGTGTTGCGTCGTGAGGGTGGACGACAAAACGACGTTCAGGCGACCGGGAAGCGGGCGGAATTTGGGCGGAATGCTGTCCCACGTCTTGCGGCCCATCACAACGGCGTTGCGCTTCGCAGGCGATGGTTTGACGTTCTTCCCCCGCAGTTTTGTTGTCAAATCCCGGAAAAACTTCATGTCCTCGGGCACATTCCATGGGATCGACCGCCCGTCCCCAATGCCGCCGTGCTCGTCGACCGCTACAACGAGGGAAAAGGCACGCAGTGCGAGACGTGTCCCCTCCGCCACCGTCTCCGGCATGCGGATCTTAAACAGCGACATGGTGGACGCACAAGTGAGAGAAAAGTGTAAAAGTACGTACGACCTCTTTTCCGCTTGCCGGCCTGTTTGTGTGGATTCACTTTAAATATTATTTGTAACTCTTGTCTTTTTGTTATTTTTTGTTTTTGTCTTTTTGTTTTGTTTTTTCCTTCTCTTTGTGCTCCTATCAAAAGAAAAAACCCAACAAAAACAACACACAAAAATAAATAAATAAATAAATAAATAAAAGAAAAAAAAAAAGGCTCTCATGACTGAATGGTAGCCGAAAGTAAAAGAAAACACCCTCCCAGTCACCCGCCTGCTTCCCAATTCCTCAAAATAATAATAAAATAAAATAAAATAAAATAAAATATATGCGGTACTCCCCTCCCCAACCGCACACAAATGAACAAATGTCCTCTCGTCTTCATGAAAGAGGAATCCTCCACCTAATCCCCTCCCCCGCTCACATTACACACACACACACACACAAAAACAAACAAGCATGTATATACGTATATATATATATATATATGTATATACATACGGTGTCCAACAGCAACAAGCAATACGCAGTTTAATGGGAATCCCCATCAGGATTGGGTGATAATGAAATCGTTACAATTTTTTTTGATTTATTATACATATAAATATAAATATATATGTATTGCATTCCTTCATGTTGTTCCTTCTTTTTTTTTTTTTTTTTTTTTTTTTTTCTTCCATCCAATATTGTTTATTGATTGTATTTTTCCGCGCCAACTCACACTCATCGTCCACATATATATATATGAAAAAAAAAAAAAAAAGCAAATAGATGTAAACTTATGTGTGTGTTCGCACGTATATATTATATACATATATAGATAGATAGATAGATAGATAGATAGATAGATATTGCACAATTTATATAAGTAATAATACATAAAAAAAAATTTTTTTTTATAGATATAACTGCACTTGTGAGTATTGGTGTGAGTGTGCATAAGACCATATTGGAAAGTAAACGGAGAAGAAACTCAACGGGTGAATGTCTGTTGCACTTGTGAGACGTTCGTCATTCGCCTCATCCCCACAGACACACACACACACACACACACTCCGCCTGTTCTTCTCCGTCCAATGCGTCGCAGGCCTCCACCACACTTCCCTCTCGCCAGGCACATCACACACACACAAACACACTGCCAAAAGTGAGGCAAACAAACTAAACCAAAAAAGCCGTCGTCACATCTCCTCAAAAATAAAAATAAAAAAAAAAAAAAAAAAAAAAAAAAAAATGAATGCCGCTTCTGCCCATGGTGTTTTTCCCTCTTTTTCGCTTTTCTTGAGAATCCAACGAAAAAAAAAAAACATGAAGCCCCAAGGAAGAAAAAAAAGAGAAAAAAAGAAAAAAAGGAATAAGTGCATAACAGTAAGAAAAATAAAAAATGTAAAGATACTCTGCGCCTATTTATGTATTTATGTATCTCTGTGTCTATGTGTGTGCCACCCTCTCTCTGCGTACATGTGCTATGCTCACGTGTCATCCCCGGGAAAAAAGCAAAATACAATATATATTCATATTTGGCTGTTTTTTTTTTTTTTTTTTTTTCATTAGTAGCCTTCCACATCCGCATCTGACAGGGAGGCCAACGCACACTCCATCCGCGGCCACTGCTTCCGTTTGTTGAACACCAGCGCCATCGGCAGGCGTAAGGACATCGCAATAGCAATGAGGTGGGCGTCCGGCCGCTGCCGTGAGCCAGATGAGAGTTTTCGTGCGATCCAACAGCAAAGCTCCTCGAAGGAGATAACACCGGACCGAGTTTTGTTAAGCATTCGAAAGATGCGCGGGGCGTGTCGGACAATCTCGGGTCGGTCCCGCACAAAGACATCGTGTGCGTATTTTGTGAAGTTGTGGAAATCCAGAGGCCCGTACTCCGCGACAATGCACTCATAGGCGTGCGTGACAAACGCCACGCTCTCCCGGGCGCAGGGCAAAAAGGGAAAGACGGTTGCTGGCACACCAAAGACTTCCTCCAGTTGGTTGGATCCCTGCGCCGTGAGTACGGCATTGTAAAACGTAATGCGGTGCTCAAGAATATACTCCCGTGTGTAGTGGAGTTCTCGCACAACCTCATCGATGTCCTCCTCGTCGTCAACCACCCCGTCCTCAAAGCCCACCGCGAGACCACTCGGACCCGCACCAGGCGGGGAGCAGTTGACGCTCCCTTCCATGCGGAGATCCCTCTCAGAGTTCTCTCCCGACGGCTGCCGCCGCTGCACCCCCCCACGCCGACGCTCGACGACTTCACGCAGAGCGGGAATGACGGGTGTGTACCGCAGCGCAAACCGTGCAAACAGCGCATCCACAAATTCCGCCAATGACCCGCGGTGGTGCACAAGAACCGCCTGCGCCACCACCTCATCAACCACATGGGCAAAACTTATCACGGCATCACCCTTCGCTGCCGCAACATCCAAAACGTACAATTCCGCAGCTGCACGTCGCGATCGACGACTTGCGCGCCATACTTTGAATGGGTGCAACTTCAGTGTTTCAGCAGCGAGGAAGTCGGGGCGAGCGAGCGGCGTACGAAGCACCACGTGAAAAAATGCCTCGTGGATGGCATCGTGAATAAATTGGTCCTCGCCACGGGAGTTCATTGAACCCACATCTTCAGCAGTCCTAACCGCCTCATCCCCGACCCCCACCAGCCATGAAGTAGAGAACATCGTAGCATTGATGTCGATGACATCGCCAAGTAATGCCAACCCAGCGCTCTCGTCACTCCTCCCAGTTGAGGGGAAGGAGTTCCCCAAGACAGCGGCCTCCACCTGCGTAAACGTGTCGGGCCCAGAAAACACATTTTTCTCCTCTCCGTGAGACAGCGAGGCCGTGGATGACGACGCCTTAGTCACTGTCGTTGTACCTATTTGATGGCTTTGTTGCTGTGGGTGATTTTGGCACCGGCTATTTGCCTCAATAAATGGAAGATAAAACAGCATCTCCTCTGCGTACGAAGAAAACAGCCGCCTGTTCTCCCCGTGAGCTGCAATGAGTCGAGAAATAACGGCCGGAATGTCGCGATAGACGCGCAAATCCGGGAGTGGAACGCGGCATAGTACAAGGCGTTCCTGCGCCTTGCAGCTAGAGACGATGGAGGGAGCTGTGGCTACAGAGCATTTCGGCAACTCCGGGAACGCCAGCATCGCCCCGCGAGTATATTCCCTGTGAAACTCACGTGTACGAAGTTCAATAACAACCATTTTGTCCAGTTCCGTCACCTTTTCCACGGCAAGGATAAAAGAATAATTCAACTTCTTTTGTAGCGGCAGCAGCAGGGTGTGGTACAGCACCGCGTCATGCGGGTTGGCAGTGCGGAGCACCACCACAGAGTTCACGCACGACGTGCCACAAATCCACTCAAAAAACCGCTGCAACCTGCTGTCATGTGGTCTCTCGCGACAGCGGAGAACGTGCAGCGTCCTGTTGAGTGTTACCATTTGATTACAGCCCAATGCACGGCGAATGAGCAGCAAAAAACCAAGTGCAGTCACCGCGCTCAGCATGACGCTCACGCCCCCAGCGAGCTGTCTCATTTTTATTTCCGCCGCACTACAAAGCAACAAAAACAAGAAAGAATAATAATAAATAAACTGGAAAATAAATCCAAGGGAAAAAACGAGAGCGTGCCGTCGCTGCAAATGGCCCCGACCTCGTCTTTCCCCTTCCCTTTTGCGGGTAATTTTGTGTGAAGTGGAAAATGTAAATGTGTGGCTCAATAACAGGAGGGAATGTGCGTACTTGGTGCCGCGCTCCCACAAGACGTCCCTCCTTTCAAACAAAATAAAAAAAAGAAAGAAAAGAAAAACATATATATATATATTTCCCCCCGCATGCACAAACAAACACATAGAGAGAGAGAAAAAGAAAAAGAACAACAGGGATCAACGCCTTTCGTTTTCATGCATGCGTTATGCGGCTTATTTGTTATACACACTGCAGTAAAAAAAAAGAAAAAATTTTTGGAGCCGCTGCCGTCACGCAAGGCAACAGACACGCACACGTCAAAGTAAAAAGTCGCCAAAAACACATGGCAGCGCCGCATCGTCAGTCAAATTGCACTGTTTCTCCTCCTCATTACTTTCATCAATTTTTGTTTGTTTCTTCTAGTTGTGCCCGGGAAAAAAAAAGCGGAGAATACAGCGAGAGGCTCACGATGCACTCGAATCCGTCACATGCTTCAAGAGGCTCTGCACCAACGACGACAACGGCCTTCCTGCGCCCCTCCCAATCTCCGTAAAGAGAATGGCGTCACCGTACGGATCATCTGCGGCGTTGGCGTCCGTTAACTCGCGCCGCTGCACGTCACCGCCATCTGCCTCTTCACGTCTGCGTTTCCGTGCGCCCTTACCGCCCCCCGTTGCCGCTGCCGTCACCGCTTTCTGCCCCTGTAGCTGGTTGTCCAGCTGTGTGATCTCTCGCAGCTTTTTGATATATCCGGAGACGCGCTCCAACTTGAGCTGGACCCGCGCATCCATGCCTTTCTTTCCCCCCACATGCTGCATTCTGTCGTGGGCGTACGTGAGCAACACCAGAATAAAGGCAGTGGCAAGGGAGACGCGGGCCTGTTCGTCCACGCTGTATTTTGTCACCAGCACGTCCTCGTTGAGAGAAGCCAGCAACGGCAGCAGCTCAGACTGCATACGAATAAGCTTCGCGTCCATCTCACGCATAAGCGGCAAAACGTCATCATCAAAATCCATTTCCTCTCCCTTTTCCCTTTCCTTCCTCGTTGCTGTGCGAAGAGAAACGAAACGCGACCAGAACCATTGAAACAAAGTGCATACAGAGGCACGCATGCAAGCACAAACAATGAAAGAGAAAGAAAAATGCATGCATGCATGCATACAAACACTCATGAAGAGGAGGCAGGTTGAGGAAGCAAAGCAACGCCAAAAAAAAAAAAAAAAAAAATTTAGAAACAACCACACTGCGACAACTGTCAGATGATCCCCGGTGAGTGGGGAATCATAAAATGGGCACCACAAACCACCCTGTTCGACAGCAGTCGGTGAAAAAGCAGCAGAGCAGTTAAAAATAACAGGAGAAAAATAGTATTAAAAAAAAAAAAGAACGTCTTTGCACACCCCTATATATATATAAATATATATATTATTTTTTTACGCGCTTTTCCACGCCCCCCGACACTCCCCTCCGCTGCCTGCAACTGATAATAAAGCAGCCTCTTTCGCCACATACTGCTGCCCCATCTCCGTATTGCTCACCAAAACGCAATACACACAGAAATAACATCCATAATAAATAACTAATATATATATATATATATGTTTATATCCACTTTTCACTAAAGCAACTTCGATTTACCGGGTGGCTACCCGATCTTGAGCACTGTCTCTTTTGGGACCGCAGAAAAAAAAAAAAGAAAAAAGAAAAAGAAATAAACCACACACACAAACAAACACGGCCCTGCCGCAACACCAACACGGCGACGCGTGCGCACAAGCAAATCTACCAATACCACAGTGCTCAGTTCCTTCCTTTTTTACTTTCAGTTCAATTTAACTATCAGGTTAAACATTATCGTTCTCAGATCTTTCCTGTGTGGAATTGCCTTCAGGCAATCGGGATGAATCCTGCGTCGTCCCTCCTGTCTTTGGAACAACGTCTTCAGCAGCAGCCACTGTTTGGGGTGCGGAGTGCTGAGCACCCGTTGACTCCGACGTTCCAACAACATGGCGGGTATTTAATTCATCCTCACTCTTTCCTTCTAATCCGTCGCTGTTGTTATGGTTGCTGCTTGTGCCAAGACTGAATGTCAACCATCTGCTGCCTTTCCGGTTTCCATGCTGCTTCGGTTCTTTGCTAACATTCTCATTTTCTTTTGTCTCCTTTTTCTCAGCCACAAGATCAGCTGGCTGCACACGCCAATAAAGAAAGGAGTGAAACTCCTGGTCAATATTCAGATCGGCATGGTTTTCAAGCGGCGTGGTGGACGCCGTTGCGTGGCCCCTGCCAACGTTGCCTTCTGAGAGAGGCCGCATGCCAAATGGAGAAGAAGAAGTTAAATGTGATCCATCATCATCGCACAACAATTGCAAATCGCTTACATCTAAAAAAGCAGGGCCCGGAGACCCGATCCTCCTTGTACCAACAACAGCGGCGGTGGAATTTTCACTCCCATCCTCAGTATCGGCAAAAGCATCCGGCGATTGCAGGTTATCAGATGTCTCCCGTGGCGTGTGATGACGATGATGGTGATGATGATGAATCCTCTTTACAATTGGCGGAAATGTCACGTCAACAAGGTGCGCAAGATTCTTGTATGTTTGCCTCACGTTGTACACATGTAGCACACTATTGGGATCGATAATAAAGATTTTGTGCTGTGGTATCTGTGTGGCAGTGTAGCTCACCACGTCATTAAACCGGTTACCAAAACCGGCGTAAAACGGTTTACTTTGTGCAGGAAATGTATCCAAGACGCTTTTCAGGCATGCAATTTTGAATACATGTGACTTCTTCGACACCTCCTGTGTCAACGCGGTGAAAAAACGCTGTGGAGCCGTCAGCACAGGGCCTTTTGGGAGACGAAACCCGTCCTGCTCAATCTTCCAAAGAAAATTGCGCGTCATGCTCACTTGTGAAACACTTCGAGCAGTGAGGTAGACAAACTTGTACCCATTCCGATCAATCTTACTGTATAGGGAACAGATGCCGGGATGCGTCCAGTCCCGGCCAATCAGAGGCATAAGATGACCCCACAAGTCACTCTTAGTAATCGTGCCGTCCACATCACTTACGACAAGGCGATCTGTGCTATCCCACAGATACACATTGGCATCCACAGCCACCTCCCCACGAAGTGAACTGTGCGTGATGTAACGCACCTGATTATGTCCCTCCACCAGGTTCAGCTTGCGCAAATCTGCCTCTGTAGGGATAAGGGTCCGAGTGAAGTAAACCACCTCCTCCAATTTTTCTCTTGACAGGGAGGGTTCCCCGCATTGCTTCTCATCAGGCGTGGACGTTTTTAGTGGCAGGTTGGGAAATTCACTCCCCGCCTCTTGAACCACAGGGACACTTGCTGGGGTCCCACCTGTATTGTAGCCACCAAATTCCCCCCCGTACTCCTCGGGGTTGATGGGGTCCTCAAAGAGGTAATCATCCAATGTGTCAAGCCCCTCATCACTTGCAGCGAGGCTTTTCTGTGAGCCCATGGCCCTTCTCTTCTTGGGTGTCGTAAGCACTTCCTTGTCTGTATTCTCAGATTCTTTGGCCGCTCTTGCCGTCGGCGTTTCTTGTCCGCCTTCCTTCTTTTCGGAATGAATTTCAACCGAAACAGAACCCGACTCATCTCCATCTTTTCCAGCAGTTTCCATGTAAACCCTATCACTCCTCCCGAACGTATTCGCAAGAATAGCTGGAGGCGCGTTGGTGTCATCATCAACGCTAAGCAACGCATTCTCTAAAGCACCTGGGCGACATTCCAGTTTTTCCATGTCAGTTGATAGTATACCTTCATCTTTCTCTAGTAACACAGTCTCGCGTATGTAATCATCATACTCAATCGTCATTTGTGCAATCCGTTGCATTGCCATCTCCGCCGCAACGACCGTCTCCTCGGCAAGCTGCACTTCTGTGATGTCCACCCCCAACTGCCTCGCTACAGCATTGACCTTAAGATGTCCCTCATGGTCCTCCTCTAGAAGGGGCTCCTTCGCAACACTATTCTCTGTCTTGGCGTCAATGGTGGGTGAATTCATCGACTCTGAAACCGGCTCCGTTGGTTGCAAATTCTCCACGTTCCGGTTAGGACTCCTGCTGCCGGAGTTACCGTGACTGCTGGAACCGCCATTCATGTACGCTGTGGCGGTGGCAATAGGGGACTCTGGCCTTCCACTGACATACTCTGACCAAGGTGTCGGCTTCAGCCAAAAGGCCTCGCCATCCGAACCCATCTTCATCACAGCCGATGTAGGCTTGCCATTCACCTCCACCTGTACCACCTTGTCGCTGGGACGCAGGACCTTCACCTTGCCAAAGCGTACATTAAACGGTGTGCTGAAGAGCCGGCCATTAGAGTGACGCACGACAATGACGTCGTTGGCACCGCTCGTCATGTCGAGATGGTTAAGGCTAAGGAAGCCGCTAATGCTAGATATCATACTGGAAGAACCAATACTTCTCTTCTGATAAGGGACAAAGAACAGAACAAACACAAAAAAAAAAAAAAAGAAAGAAAGAACTACAAAAAAGTACTCCAAATTCTCTGTCCTTGTCAATTATTCATCAATGAAGAAGTGCGGCAATAAAAATCATGCACGTTTGCCTGTCAATCTGTGAGAGAAAGTGTCTATGTGTGCCTCCCGCGCCCCTGAATGCATGGCGGTACATACACCCGTGAACGGATGTTCGTAATACGGACATCTCTCTCCACAGGGCTGCATGCATTTTTCTTTTTCTTTTTCTTGCTTCTTCAGGTCCATATATATTTTGAAAAAAAAAAAAAAGAAAAAAAAAAAGATGTTCCTCCCTGAAGTTCGCTGGGAGTTTCGCGATTAAAAAAAAAACCCTGAGTGCCATGACACCTTCGCGAATGTCACTTCAGTCTTGCGTTTCCCCATGCGTCGTACACGGGAGCCAAGAGCGCGGTCTCACAAAAGAAAAAAAAATAAGTAAATAAGTAAATAAAAGACGCAAAGCATTGAACCGCACACTGGAAATAAAGAAAAAGCGAATAAACTCAAACATACCGGGACGAAATGGATGTGAACACGCCCACGTGCATTGCCGTCTTCTGTAATCCCCTCATACCACTCATACACGTCATGCACCCACCTGTTCCCACAAGAATTCCTTACATACGGCAAGGTCATGTATGTGCCTCAATGTGCAGAGAAAGAGAGAGAAAAGGAGGAAGGGGGGAAAGCAGGAAAAACATATATGCGCAATTATGCCCCATTCACACGCAGTCAAACTTTTCCAATCCCCCGCATCGACTCTTTTTTTTTTTTTTTGCTGTTATTCGCTTGCAAGCCCCCCAGTTATCTCATTTCTTGAGCAAAACCGCAATCGCGGCGACCACGCCAAGCAGCAGCGCACAGCAGAAAGCGTACATAAAACAGTCACATTTATTCTTTTCCGCAAGAAACTTACGCAACCGTTTGTTCAGCACGCTGAGCTTTGCGTGGGTAGTCTCCACCTTCTCCTCCACCGCAACCAAAAGTCCTTCCTGCGTCCGCAACTCGGACGTCACATTCAGCGCATTCTCATGTAGCCGCGAGAGGCCATGGGAAATGCGATCCAGCGCGACATCGGCAAGTTCGTCGTTTCGCCGCACCTGATCCAAAAACAAAAGAAACTCCTCATCGGACACGGTGGGCTGCGGCGCAGTGACGCTGGCGTTTCTGCTGTTAGTCACGCCATCTCTGCCGTTATGAATATTGCTATTATCATTAAAATTCGCTGCAAGCAACGGGGTGGTCATACTTGTGGCCCCGTGTTGTGTGCATTGACGCGCGTGGAGATCATCGTCCAGACCGGGAGCACCGCCGGTGTCGCCCTGCCGCTCATATCCCCCCTCAATCGGCGGTACAACACGAAAACACTCGCGGTACCACCGCTTGGCGCTCTCCACGTGTCTCATCAATTCCTTCATGTCGGCATCGCACCCGCCGTCCTCGCGACGTGCCGCACGTTGAGCCTCCTTCGCAAGTTTGTCGAGCTGCTGGTGGGCACGCCGCGCCGCCTGCCGTGCCTTCGCCAGCTCCGCACGGCCCCCGCCACCACTAGTACTACCACTACTGTTCTGAACGGCTTTGCTGGCGCCATGGTCGTTGGTGCCGGACTCCTCTCCCTCAAGCCTCACCACATCCCGCAGTGACTCTCGCAGCGCCGCGATGCCCTCCACGCAGTGATACTCCGCCCGTTTGTAGACGGAGAGTTTTGACAGGCGACTTTGAATTTCATCGTCGACCGCCCCCCCTGGCGCCGTGCTCATTTCGCAGCGATGGGGCAAAGCGATGAAAAAGGGAGGGGGGGAAAAGAGAACGATGGATGGTGCCGGGACGAAAGGCAATAATTAAAAAAAAAAAAAAAAAAAACAGAAGACGACACTAACGCGTTGTGTGAACAGGCAGAAATGAATTTTAAAAAAATTCACTTTTCCTTTTTTTTTTTTTTCCTTCCTTTTGGTGAAAATACCCAGATATCCTTCCAACACAAATGCAGACAAACGCACAAACATGGAGAAACAAAAAAAAAAAAATAAAGAGAATAAAAAAAAAAGGGAGGTTACGGCACACGCCGAGTCCTTCCTTCCATCCATCCACCCACATGCACGGGCAAAAAGCAAAAAAAAAAAAAAAAAATTTGCCAAAAAATAATTACATGCATGACGTTTCGTTTTTCCTTTCGTCGTTGCTGTTTCAATGATTCACCTTCCACTCGCTATGTGCATCTCGCCAAGCAGCATGCATCATTACATGCACCGTCCTCGTACGGCCACGAAGAGTCGAAGCATAAATGGAAATAGCATCAAGAACAGCATATAATAATGTGATTTAAAAACGCATCAGTAAACAGTTAAAATTTTGTTAAGAACAAGCGCGCACATTTCACCCACAGACTTCAACTCCATAGCACGCGTCTTGACTACAAAGAAAATGAAGAGGAAGAAGAAACGACTCTTCGTAGCAGGGCAACAGTCGCCTTATAATTTTGCTTCTTCCTCGGTCCGCTGACGGCATCCTCCAGCACCTGCTCACCAACATCCTCCTCCTCCCCCTCATGTTCCGGCAATTCTTGTCCTTTGGTCGTTTCATCAGCCGCGTGAAGGTTTGTTAACATCATCTGGGCTGCGGCAGGTGCGATAAGGCGGTGCGGCTCATGCAGGCGCAGAAGAATGCCATACAGCACCGGCAGCGGAAAACGCTCCGTGTCGTTTCCCATAACAACAGGGACGTGAACGAGGAAACGTCGCACCTCTGCCACCTCTTCATGAAGCGGTGCATGTGGCGTTTGCCTTTTATCGCCCTCCCACTTCGGTTCAGCCGATGGGGGCGGAAGAAGCATCATGACGATATCATGAAGGTCCTCGGCTGAAGCACTTGGCAACATGTCCGTAAGCAGCTCAAGTGCAATCACCGCCTCCGCCCTTCTTCCAGACCGCCACCTGTCATATTCCTCCCTGTAATGATCATCGTTTCCAGCGGCGACCACAGCACCGCCACCGCCACCACCAAGAAATGTCTGTGCAACGCGAGCCAAATCACGCGGCCCGAGTTCCGCAAGGCGCGGCCTCGTGGCGGCCAGCGACTCCCCGTCACGCACCAGGCAACGCATTAGCGCACCAAATAGCTGCGCCTTAACAGACCTGTCAATTAGACGCTGCTGAGACTGCAGTGCAGCAATTGGCATCCACACATCACTTATGAGCGGCCGATCGGCGCCAAAAATGCTCAAAAGACAAAAACGCGCCTTCACGGATGCGTCGGGCGTCCCAAAAGGTGACTGAAACTCCGTTGGCGCACTACAGTAGTCAAATACAGACGATATGTTCTGAAGTCGTACACGCGGCGTGTCAACAAACGACGCAGCAGGCATTACTTTTCCCCAATGCTGCGGCAATTGCAAGAGCAGTCTGTAAAGATAACGATGTGGAACCTGCATGGCATCATCAAAGACATTCGGTGTGTCGTGCGACAAGGACAGCCGCGATGGTGATGCCGATGAAAACAGCAGTAGCCGCCGCTCACGGCGCCGTGGATCGTATGTGTCCAAAACATTCAAAAACTTCAAAATAGCTCCAATGTCTACACTAATTTCCTCCAATTCTCCATTCCTTTCGTTTTGTGCAGTCCGTGGCTCACCGTGGTTCAATCGCTGTCCTTGTTCCCGCTCGCGTCGCAAGAATCCGCCCAAGTCCACAGACATTTCTTCCACTAAACCGATGGCTAGTCGCAGAAACGGCCAAACACGCTCATCCGAAAGCGGTGAAGCACTGCCGTCATACATACATCCGCGTTTATGTGAATTGGACTCCCGCGAAAATGCCGCTGAATCAGGCAAGAAAATTGAAGCCTGATGCAGCAGTTCACAAACTAACGTGATAAATTGAAACGCACCCAAGGATCGGCGTAGACATAATATAGTGTGATCAGAAAAGGCATAAAAAAATGCCAAACTGCGATGTCTCTTATCGCTCCATTCCTCAACCCCCTTCTCATACACAGGATCCTCCTCTTTCCCTTCAAGGAGCAAAGCTGCGCCCTCATGAGAAATCCCCGCTGCCGCTTCTGGTGCTACTGCCTTCTCTCCCTTAGCCGGTGTTGATGAAAGCGCTAACTTCCCCATTCGTCGTGCGGCTACATCCATGTCGTGCTTGATGGTCATCAATAAGCGGTATGACGAGGGTTCAGCAACATGGGAAAAGCGCAAGAGCAACATCCAGTGCTCGAGCTCAAGGCAATCCAACGATTCATCCCAATGGGAACATCGCAGTGTTGTGGTAGGTGGATCTTCTTCACTTTTGGCTTCTGACTGGCCGGTGAGGCGTGAAGCACGCGGGCGCGTGATGCCAAGCAGTGCTGTCACGCGAAACACAAACAACTTCTTCAATCGCCTGCCAAGGGTTGTGCCCTCAACGGAGGGCAACAGCATCGCTTCTGCCAGCTGCTTCAGTGGGATGTGTGCATTGGTTCTCTGCAACAACTCTCGCGACGCCGCGTGCAACCCACGCACCGTTGGGTGCGACGTGCTGGCATTTTGTAGCTGCTGCAGCAGGCGGAGCAACACGTCCCCGGACACCGTGAACCGAAAGGTCTCATGAATCATTTGCATGGAGGCGGAAGACTTCAGAACAGACTGCAAGAGTTCCGGGTCATCGTTGCCAATGTGCTCCGTTAACTCTAGCACAACGTCAAGTGGCTCGCGAGAAAATGAGACAGCGCAGACAACAAGTGGAGTCATGGTTGCAAACCAACGTTGCCGCAGCTCTCGCTTTCGCAGTCGTCGTACGGCCCGAACCGCAGCATTGACCTGCACAATAGGAACGAAGGCATTCTTGGCTTCAAAGCACCTCGCCTCAGGGAGAAGTTCACTCAGGCACGCTGAAGCCACCTGTGGGTAATCCCCATACAGTTCAAAAAATTGAAACAACTCCAGTGGACGTGCCGTTCGACGCGTCAACTGTGCGACCTTGCGAAACACAACTTCGAGGACGGCGTCATCCTTGAGCAACTCGACATCCGCAGCAGCCAGCAGTCGCAGCGTCGTGACAAGTGTGGCGAAGGTACGGCAGTAAATCCGTGTGACGTTCAACACCCGCGAAATGTCGTCCCTCCCGCCCCCAAGAAGTGGAAAAAACATGACAGTGGAAAGTCTCGTGTTACCTTCAAGCCGGTCCCGTAGCCGCAGGGAAGAAATCATCCACGGCGATAGCTGTAAGAACTCTTTGCTCTTCTTCTCATTCTCCTCCTCCTTCTGCTTCATCTTCACGGCGTCGCCATACGAAATGTCCAATGGGGAGATTGCAAGATAATCCGTAATAAACTGCGTGACCTCCATGCTATCACACTGGGAAGCATGCGCCTTGTAGGTCTCCTGCAGAAAACAGCGAACCTGTGTCAACTGGGCGCTGCTCTGTGAATCGCACGATGGCTCCAACATCATGCACGCGTACGCCAAATCACTAAGAGAGAAGAAAGACTTAGCTGCGTTGCGCTTTTCCTCTGGAGTCCTGGCAGCCAAAATTTCGGCCGCATAGTCACGAGATGCCGTAATAAACGTAAGCCCATGATCCCCCGGTAAAATGGGCGCCGATTGGCAAAGCACCCACGTAGCGCTGGCCACAAACATCATCAAAGCTGCACAAGTGGCAGCCTCCTGGCAGGGCTCCAGAGATGTCTCGCAGTCAGAAAAAACCCGCTTGCCAGTGCGCACAAAAAAATCATGAAGCAACGGTAGAGCAGATTTTTTCATCTTTTGCGCAAAAGCAAAAACAACAGCGCATGCGTCATACAGAAAGAGTGGAGTGTCTTGCAGCGATCTAGCATGAGCCGCAGCAATTACCAGAGCGGGAACTTCTTCTGCCGATGACGCCATGTTGGTGCTCCCTTCCTTCCCATCTTCATTGCCGTTCCGTTTTGAGACTGCCGTCGTAACAGCCTCTGCATGAATCACACGCTTCAGTCGATCACCCACGGAGTGGAAGATGACAGAAGGAAGCACGGGGGGTGCACGGAGTACAAACCGAACAAGGCATGCGTACTGTGAGGGCGTCGTCTCACTCTGCCCCACGCTGGATGAAAGCAGAGCCAACAAACGCTCCTGGAAGGCTACAAACGGCCGCCAGCTCAGGGCATGGACACCCTCCGCGATCATGACGAGTTCTCTGCTGGAAACCGATTTCTTCAGCCGACGGCTCCTTCCGCCAAGTGCCTTCGCGAGTGATACGCCGACTCCTGAAAACGCAATTCCTCTCTCCTCCTTCAAAACCTTAAGAATTTTGTCGCTGGCGCTCGCGCCCGATGTAGAGGAATGGATACCCGACCTTGGCACAAGCGCCTGACGAGTATTCCAGAAGGATAGCATGTGTCTCTCCATGACAGCCACACATGCATCTAAGAGCACCTCCAGCTCACCCTCAATTTCAGAAATGTCGTCATTGCCAACAAAAAATACACCCGTCAACGGTAAATCTGGTGATGTCAATGACGACTGTCCTCCTTCATCCTTTGGAAGCTTACTGCTTCTTACGACGGAAGCAGTCTTTCGGCGTCGTTCGAAGCGCGAGCGTGTAGCGTTCACCTTCACCGTTTGGTCTTGTTTTTGTTGTAGTTGCTGCTGCTGCTGAATCCAAAGATTATTGTGCTGCTCGCACAAGACGCGAAATATCTTCGAAAGGGCGTTCAGCAAGGCAGCCAGATCAGAAAAAAGATATTTTTTTGAAAACGCCGTCACACATTCGCACAATTGCGGCATCACGACAGTGGGCGAAAGAGGCTCCACATGATAGAGAATGTTACTCTTTAACCCCAGCATGAGAACCTCAAACAGGCACCAGGACTTGGAGGCAACAACCGCGTGCCCATCATTTCCCACTTCCTTTTTTGACTGTATGGGAGAAAACGAAAGGATGCGAGCGTATGTCGATGTGATGTTCGACACCTGATGCGAGACAAAAAAAGTACGGTTATCCATTGATGCCTGTAAGACTTTTGTAACGGATGCCACCAGCGATGCCATGTGTGTTCCCTGCTCACAGCCTCCACTGCTGCCTTCACCAGTCCCATGAAGACCACACGCATCATGCGGTTCAACAAAAAGTGGGACGCATTGAGTAAGTGTGAAGAAGCGAAGAAGCGGTAACGCCGTCTCCCTCACCCGCAATGGCGTAAGACCAGTTGCGTAGTGTTTTACTATTCGCGCCAATTTTGCCAGAGATAATGGCACGATCGGCACTTTGATTGCACGCGGAATTCGTACACCACTCTCCGCAGAAGGCGGCAGTGAATTCGGTGTGCCAAAGAGAGCAGCATTCTCCCCATCCTCCGAGTCACTGCTGCGTCGAGCCCACTGTGCCACAGCTGCCTTTGTTAAGGAAGAGAACAGTACAGTGAGAGCTGCTGCCTGTGTGTTCGTTAAATCCTTATCTTCACCCTCCTCCCCTTTAGGTGGCGTAAAGAGGACGTCATCCTGAAGCACACACATCACGGCAGGCAAGAGCGTCCTGCACAGCAGCTGCGACAACAGTTCATAGCCATCCGCGTCTAGATAAAGAACACGGTTGACAAGAAGATCCAGCACCGCCATGGTGAGCCGCCCAAGCAGCACAGCCTCTTCACAACTGCATATTGAAGACAATGGTGATGACGATGACTGCCGCTCCTGCCAAAGATGTTGCAGAAATTCCACACTTTCGTTTCCATATGGACACTCCAATATGGAAATTTCAAAATGTGCACAGGACACCGTGATGGCACACGCAAGTTCTTCTGTCATCGTCCACAATGCCTGCGTTTCATTGTCATTTGGTTTTGGCATACCACGAATCAGAAACTCCCGTGCCTGCCAACGAACGCGTGATGCCGACGCCATAATTCCCAGAGATCGATGCAGGCCTCGCAGGGCTGCCAGGTACTCCACCGCGGTATCCGCTGTCAGTGTGGACGGCGGTGCGAGTGAATCCAGGGTTATATGCACCGAGGACAACGTTTTCGTGGAGGCACCGAGATTCAATTCAACATTTCTTTCGCTTTGGCCGCTAAGTTGATGCGGTCGATAATGGAAAATCTTCTTTGCAGAAGACTCGCTGCTGCAGTACCGCGGCTGCTGCACCAATGTCGTCAGGTGCGGAAACCGACGCCGCCGCGGTGCCAAAAAGACCGTGGAGGCCGCGAGAGCAGCCGTCCTCCTCCCTCTCCTCATTCACGCAGCAGCAGCAGCAGCAGCAGCAGCACACACACACACACACACACGCAATGACTCCTCCTGTGGGATTTTGTCCCTTTGCTTTTCTTCCTCAATTAAATTACTTCTAATTTCTTTTCGCGTTCAGCCCCCCTCACCAGTTCCACAGCCTCCGCCACCGCACGCAGAGCAGACAAAAAGAAAAGAAAGAAAAGATGAGTTGTTCTCTCCCTGCCGGGGGAGGGGACAATCCGCAACGCATAAGAAGAGCCCAAACAAAAGCAATCCACCAAAATCTCACAGCCAATCAAAAAAAAAAAAAAAAATGAACTCAGATCGTGTCAATTCATCACACTTTTAATTTCGAGGGCAAAAGTGTCTGTAACGCCCTTGAAGGCCAGCGGACCGCTCACGACTCCACATGCACGGTGGGGCTTAGAAATCATTCCAACAGGCCCAAAATGCGCCTAAAACGGTCATACGTCCCTAAATTCAAATGCTCCGCGGCTCAAGTGACGTCAAGAACGGGTTTGTTGCTGCCACCCGTCCCAGCGAAACTTCACCCCTGCCTGCAGGTGTGGCCACGCGCGTTGCACGGCTTCCTCCTCCCAATACAACGACCACGCGTTTTTCCTCGCCCATGGCCATTGAAATTCCGTAGCGAGAATGGCGTTGCCCCCAACCGTCACACGATCCACACCGGCTGAGGGCCAGCCGGCGTGAGCGGACGTCAGAATGCCCACATACAAAAAAAAAAAACCTGTGAATAACGCCCCAACAAACCGCAAATATTACATGGAGAGTGAGCAAGAAGAACACCAATCCCCAATGCAAACCCCGGATGGCGCAGCTAAGGGCCGGAAAAAACAAAAGTGCAAGAAGAGAGAAATTAATAAGCAAACATCTAAAAAAAAAAAGAAAGTTATGAGTAATTTTAGGTAGTTCAGTCACAACGGCTGGGAACAGGACAAAAACGACGGGGGAAAAAACACAGACACACGTAGAGAGAGAGAGAGAGAGAGAGATCAGACACAGGAAAAAAAAAAGAAGTAAAAAATAAAAATAAAAATCCTACAAAATGTCAAAATTACAACGCCATGCGGAGTGATATGCATCACACCCCATAAGAAGATATAAACATGCCCACACTTTTTTTTTTCTTTTTTTTTTTTTGAGTTTCGTGTTGCCCCTGTCCTATTGAGAATATGCCGGAGTTGTGGGTGACTTCCCTTTGCCGTTTGATTTTGTTTTTTTGTTTTTTTATTTTCCTAGTCTCGTGATATATACATATAAATGTATTTTTGATTCCCCTCGTCAGAAGAGCCAACAACAACAACAACAACAACAAAAGAAACGAAAAAAGTGGAACGTTAATTCCGCAGTGTCTTCTTCTGTTGATTCTTCTCAGCCAACATTGCAAGTGTAAGTTTGATCTCCGCCTCCGCTCCCCCCTCGCCGGACAGACGAAGCCACAGCAGCGCAATACCACGCGGGTTGAATGTGCAGTCCGACAAGCAGAATTTGCCACTCGCGATCACCAGCCCGTTGTGCAGGAGCGCCACCTCCAGCTCTGCGTTCTCGCCAAAGTTAAAACGAAACGCCTGGTCCATGAAATTCGCACCGCAACGCGGAGGGTACTTGCCGTCTCTTCGGGAGACATTCCAGCTGAAAGTATCATCATCGTTGCTGATGCGCGCCCGCACAGCCGTAGAAATAAAAACTTGATTCTCACTTTTTATTTGCACATAAATCTCGGACAATTCCCTGCTCCTTTCACCCCCTATCGCGGAAACAACATGCGATGTGCCGACGGTGTTGTTTGCTAGAAAAAAGCGGCAGCGGTGAAGTGTGAGACGAATCCGCCGTTCCGTCGGCGCCGAAATGCTCACAATTGTGCGTTCAATCTCGCGAAAGCGAGCCTGGTAGTCTCGCGGGGTATTGAGCAATTGGTAAGCATTAGACATGGCAGACTTGTACTGTGACCTTGTCATACCAAACAATTCCGCAAGCCGCCAAAGGAGTTCGCGTACTGGCACCTCAACGAGGTGGGCAATTAAAAAGTTCTCTTTCAGAATACTTTGAAAGCTACGCGCGTTACAGCGCGTGGGTGAGACTTTAATGAGATCACGTGTCTTCTGCAACGCTTTTCGAATGGCAGCCAAGGATCCTTCGGCGACCACACCACTATAGTTTTCTTCCAATAGGCCTACGTATGCAAAACAGGCCTGCTTTCGTTCCTCGGAGTCCTTCTCTGCAACCCTTTTGAAAATCTGTTGACGGTGTTTCTGGAGAATAACTCTGGCGTTCTCACGGGAGCACTTCAGCGACTCATCAAGCAACGCCGCTCGTCTCGGTATTAGCTCTTGCAGGAGCTCACGTGTGCGTCTAATGTCTTCCTGATTCCTTACCTCCATTTGGCAATCCTCTAGGCGCCACTGTGTAATTAGGGCCTTGAACCTAAGGCTAGACTGTTCTCCTACTCCGTACTCAACAGGAAGGGGTCTTGATGGTCGTTGTATGCTGTAATGAGTGTGACGCGCCTTCAGCTCCGGATTTTTTTTTGCGTCACCCGTCCAGGTCACGGAAAAATCCATGGGAGAACTCTTTCCCGACGCCGGTTGTAATGGAGGTAGCGAATTTGCAGGCGGAACGTGTTGTTGCACCACGCAACTCCTATTTCTGCGAGTAATGTCAAGTCCATACACCGTTGTGCCTTTACCACGATTTAGCAGACTAACAAGTTGGATGCCAAGGCGGCGATGAACGGCATCGCTGTCGCTATCTTTCCTTTTATCACCGTGATAGCTGCCACCGTCATTTGTGCGCTCCACACCACCAGCGGCACCAAGACCAGGGGGCGTGGGGGAAACAGTGCGCTGCGACATGGTATTCTCCGTCCGCCATGATATTTCCTCTGCGGACAAACAACTTTGATCCCTCAATGGCTCTCTCTGCTCCTCTTCCTTTGGCGTTTTCACATTTGTTCCATTCTGAATCATGAGAATTTTTGAAAGGGTGACACCCTGAGAAGCCTTTTCCACGGCACGCTGGCTTTTTTTAATTTCATTCCGCAGCAGTACTGCGCCCCGAGGGCTGCCTCCGCGAAGTTGGAGAGCGTTGATCTCCTCCCGCCAGGTAGAAATAGCGGCCCTGGTGGCCTCACTCGTCTGCTGCTGTCGCCTTGACAAAGTCAGTTTCAATTTATCATCACTGTCAGGCTCCTGCAGGCTCTCGGAGCTTGTGTCATCATCCTCGTTCACCACTCGGATAGCCGCACTGCTTGGCGCCTCCACACACAGTAGATGGCGTCTCCAACGACGCCGCATGTGTTTTCCACGCTCCTGAAACTGATTCATCTCCCCAAGAAACCCCTGCAGCTCCTGCAAAGAAACTGTGTAAAACCCCTCCCCATTCATTGTTAAAGCCCCACAATTAGCCTGCTGAGCATCACGTTCCGCAAGCAATTCGTTCACCGCTGCACTAGACACAATCCCGGCTTGCATACATCCCGCTTTATGCATCCTCAGCGTGGCCGGGAGCAGTTCGCCGTACGTCTTCGGGTCATACTCCAAGCCGTTCTTTGCCACGCGCCGTGTTCGCTGCTGGCCGCCGTTTCGAGACGTCTCTGTGCACTGAGAAGAAGAGTCCGTCAAGGGGACGGTGGTGCCTCCCTTTGACGCTTCCGTCAACGTTAGCAACTGCTGTCGTGATAGTCCACCGTTGTTCCCCAACGCAAGCATACCCCTACAACTCGTAGTCGACTCCCTCGTCTTACGTTCCACCGGATTTTTCATGCCACATTGCCGCTTCGCGTCTACTAGTGGTTCTTCCAGAGGTCTCGTGACAGATTCCCTCTTCCCACCTTTGCCGTCATCGACAAAAAGCAGTGACGTCTCGCCCTCCTGAAATAAACTTGGATTTACTTTGTGGTGGCGTAGCCGTCCCCCACGGCACCACCCCTCCACCGCGACCTTCTGATTCACCGCGGGCAACGTCAACGAGTTTGGTCCAGGCGATACCGAGCGCCCCCCAAGCGCTAGAGATGAATTACAGCTGGTGCCAACGCGGTTTGGCGACACAGATCCCCCTCTAGAGAGCGGACTCTCCATCATCACCACACGCACGTACGCCCCTCCCTCCTCTCTCGCTGTTCAGCCAAACAAAAAGTAGTCGGCGTCACGGCAGAGTGGGGCGCCCCACGGTGAGTGCGGATCAAATCACCTAAAGATGCAGCAAGGCAAGATAAATGCAGGAAGTCATAACAAGACGCCTCAGGAGCCACGCGGCACGTAACCGGAGGCAAAAGAACCGCCAAACAAAAACAAGGAAAGCCAGTTCAAAAACACACGCGCACTCACGCATCAACAAAAAAAACAAAAAAAAAAAAAAAAAAATTGGATGAATCATACATATGCACAGATAAACAAAAAAGTAAAAAAATAGAGGGTAAAATTCATTTCTGTCCCACAGCAAAAAATACATACAAATATATCAAAAAAATATTAATGGTAATAATAATATTAATAATATTAAAACAAAAGAAAAAAAAAAAAAACCACTGACAAAACCAACAATAAATAAATAAATAAGTAAATAAACAATACTAATAAACAATAATCATTGCTAATAAAGCTTTGACACACCATCCAAAAAAATAAAAAATAAAAAATAAAAAAATTTTGACCTACGCATCTATCAATATAATATATATATATATATATATATCGCCGGATTACTACTACATTGGGTACTGGTACAATTCACAAAGCAATTTGGCCATTTTACCTCGATATACTCCCTGCACTTAAAGCCTACGGAAAGGAACCAAAAATAAACATTGCTCAGAAAAAAAAAAAAAAAAAAGATAAAAGGGCTAAGAGCTCGAAAGCAACCCTACACGGCAGCGATGCACCACAAAGAAACGGTCTCCTTAACACAAGGGGCGATTCTCCCTTATGAACAGCGCGTACCGGCGTAAAATATACGCATTACTACAATCACATTGTGTGGAAAAAAAGGGCAAATAAATAAACATAGGCACAAAAAAAAAAAAAAAAAAAAAGATTGCCCTCACTAAACTTTCCTGCGGAACAGAGGGTTTAATTATCCTCCTCGCTGCTTTCTGGTGTCAAGACTAAACCAACTCTCAAAATATTCAACACCTTTTCATTTCCCCTCCTCTTCACCTAATAAAGAAACCGCCAAAACAAAAAATTACGCAGTCCGCAAACCCAGCAGCCAACGTTGTTACCCTTTGAAAGGGCAGTCCCTACAAAAGCACATAGGCGCCAGTGAAACTGACCCGGCGCTTTAACTTTACATCATCCTTAGTTTCTCCACGTATTTCTTCTGCATCCGAAAAGCTTCCTTGGCGCTGTATTCCCCCTCCAGAAAAGCTTCCTTGGCGCTGTATTCCCCCTCCAGAAAAGCTTCCTTGGCGCTGCATTCCCCCTCCAGAAAAGCTTCCTTGGCGCTGTATTCCCCCTCCAGAAAAGCCTCCCGGACGCGGCATTCCCCCTCCAGCAAAGCTTCCTTGGTGTTGTATTCCCCCTCCAGAAAAGCCTCCCGGACGCGGCATTCCCACTACAGGAAAGCCTCCCGGACGCGGCATTCCCACTACAGGAAAACCCCCCGGACGCGGCATTCCCATTCCAGAAAAGCTTTTCGAGTGCCGCATTCCCACTCCAGGAAGGCTTGTTTGGCGCGGCATTTCCCCTCCAGAAAAACCTCCTTGGCGTTGCATTTCCCCTCCAGAAAAACCTCCTTGGCGTTGCATTCCCCCTCCAGAAAAGCTTCCTTGGCGTTGCATTCCCCCTCCAGAAAAACCTCCTTGGCGTTGCATTTCCCCTCCAGAAAAACCTCCTTGGCGCTGCATTTCCCCTCCAGCAAAGCTTCCTTGGCGCGACATTCCCCCTCCAGCAAAGCTTCCTTGGCGCGGCATTCCCCCTCCAGCAAAGCTTCCTTGGCGCGACATTCCCCCTCCAGCAAAGCTTCCTTGGCGTGACATTCCCCCTCCAGCAAAGCTTCCTTGGCGTTGCATTCCCCCTCCAGCAAGGCTTCCTTGGCGTTGCATTCCCCCTCCAGAGGAGCTTCCTTGGCGCTGTAACTTCAATGAGTTGCCATTTTCATGCTTCGATTTGTATGGAGCTGAAATGTCCTCCGATTCTTCTCGGCGTTTTATATCACGCCGCTGCCTCCATGAATTAGTGGAGAAAATTATTACCAACAATACCAAAATCAGCACACCAGATCCCACTGCCGCAACGATTATCCACAAATTGCCGTCAACAGGTTTTCTCGCTTCCGTGGTATCTACATAACTTTCAAAGCAAGTGGCAGCAAGGTCCGTCATAGGGCCATCGGATTCACAAATAACCCGATTAGGTATGAAGGGCGCTTGTACCCCTTTAAATGGGCATCCCGCGGTGCCTTTGCTGCACACTCCCTCCCAAGAGAAGGAAGCATTGCCATCCTCAGTTTTTTTCAGCTTCCACACCAGTAGGTCCATTTCAGTACTCTGTGGTTTCTCAAATCCGTAACGCTGTGCTGGATCGTAATCTAGCAGCACTGGCCGGATGCAGTTTGGGTGTTTACAATCCTTAAAGTCAACGTGGTAAAACAGCAACCCCAAGGTCCCGCCAAACATACTGGGGACGTTTTTGCGGCCAGCTGCGCTCGCTAAAGAATCGCACAGCTCGGCATCCCCGGCAACGGGAGAACTGGGCTCAGAAAAGACGTCTTTGAATAAAAAAAGTGAAATAGTTGGATCACACTCAACAACCTGCGCACCAAAGAGAACTGTGTCCGTTGAGGAAGAACATCGTGACAGCAAACTCTCCATATGCTTCGCCTTTTCGAGGCTATCAGGGGCAGCGAGACGCATGCCCGCATCCTCACATCGCTGAGATGCCACTACAGAGTAACCCACCAGGGGATCCTCCACAATGGGGTAAACCGCCAACGAGTGCGCGGCGCCCCCGGAAGTCGCAAGAAGCAGCGTAAAGAAAAGAAAAAAGGCTCCACGTGCAAGGAGGCGCGTCCACACGACGTCCAATGGCATCGGCACTTCTTTAATAATACGGATGTGGAGGCGTATAATATAAGACTTCAGGGAAATTGAAAAGCAAAAGAGAACAAAAAATCAACAAAAGCAGTCAACGGAAGGCGACTGCGCCCCTCATCCTGAGAATTCCTCGCAACATGCAACGGCGCCGCCATCATGAAAACAGGGATATTTTCCCAACAGGCAGAAAATTACAAGTAAATACACCCCAGATACAAGCCACACACACACACACACACGCATAAATAAAGAGAAACAAACAATAAAGAAAAAGATATCAATAGCACATAGTAAACCGGAAAAAAAAAAAAAAAACGACGATGGGGTGGATTCACACAGGGTCCCATCAAATAATTAGCCATACGGGGTTGTGGATGACACTTTCCACCGGGGTGGTGTAGCGAATCGGGTCGCACATGTATCGAGTTCAACTTTTGTGGTGACACCCCACAAATCGTTCAATGTGGAGGTTACGTCGGCTGGTGCAGGAACGACCACCGCAGTAAAACTCTCACGCAAAAGCGCCAACTGTACCGCCGCCTCACTGTCTTGAGGAATGCGATGGATGCGCCAATTTACGATGTCCTGCAGGAAAGCACATACTGCAATACCACGGGATGCAGCCAACCTCAGAAATTGTAAAATAAACCCCCCGGTTGAGTTTGAGGCATCCTTGCCGTCGTTGCTCAGCGGCTGCAACACCTCGTGAAAGCAGAGAATTGAACAGTCGTGGTGTCGAGAAGGGAACCAGTGAAGCGGTGGCATGCTTGCACGGAGCCGTTCACGTACCTGCAAGGTCACCTGCTCCAAAAATAGCGCCGTAAATCCGCCCCAGCGTCCCACGGCCCTGGTGGTGGCAGTGGGGGTGCGGGGTAAAATAGTTGAGGCCAGAACCATGTCTGTTGGAACAGTTGGAAGATGCTCCGTCAGTAATGGCGATGCGAATGCGACGCTGAAGACGACACTAATAAAAAACAAAAGCGGCTCCAACAGTACACAACAGAGGAATATAACTGGGAAAAAAACCAGTAATGCAGCAACGTCAATAAAAAAAATTGTGATGAATGTTGCAAGGGGTCCCACCAAAACATCCCGGTAGCGTATCACCCGCCATGCACGCCCATAAAAAAGCACGGCAATCGCCAGAAGAACGACGATAACAAGTAGCTGCACCGTTCCCCATCCCGTGAACACGCGATTGCATTCATCGGGAATAATTCTGGCATCGTTTGAAATGCACGGCTTCCCTGCATGTGTTTTAAGCCAAAGTGCATTGCTCACGACGAGTTGAACGCCGGTCAACAGGTTCACTAATGGCAGGCCACGCAAGCAAAATACAAGTTGATTCGGAGTATCATCTTCCAAACAATTCCACTCCATAAGAGCGTGAAGAAACATTTCGACGTGCTGAACCCGATTGTTGGCACCCACACGACGCGATGTAAGAAATGGGACCAAGGCCGCAGCCGCAAAAGCGTATAGAACAACTCCAAATCCCAAATACGTTAAAAAAGTGGAGGGCAATGCGAAAGACCAGCGGAACACAGCGTCATCCTTAAGGATGGTCCTTTCAGTGGTGAGGTCAACATCCCTCAGGTGCAGCACAAAGCACAATACAAGAACACCAATGCAAACAAGGGACATTACAAGTGGCACATAAACGGCCTTGTATCCGTGCTGCTCGCAGGCAACATATTTCACCGGAAGCACGCCGCGATAACGGTGAGTAAAATCGGGCCTGATCAAATGTTTTCTCACCCATCCTTTCGCTTCTTGTTCATCTCCATTTCTCTGCAGTTCCTGTCTTGAAATATTATTGTGACCGCATATTACGCGGTAAAGGCGACGCATCTCTGCCGAGTGAGGATGCTTCTGAAGAGCATCATGAATACACCGCTCTGCCGGCACCACATGAAGGCTTGCAAACAGTGCCAATGCGACGTGTGAGGCAACCAAGGCGTTTTCATGAAATGTTGCGAGCAAATTTCGAGCAAGACGTGCGATCCCCCTGTCGAAGGCTGCAGCAGCGACACGCAGTTGGCATACCTGCACCAAAAGGGGCAATTGCGGGAAAAAATGCTGAAGGATTTCCATCCATTCGTGTGATTTTCTGTAGGAAAACCAGTACAATTCCTGCGCCGCCACCGCAGTACATGCGACAAAAGAAGATGCTTGACTTAATTCCGATGGTGAAATCAACAACGCCGCGCGATTTGTCATTAGCCAGCTATCACTGTCAGCATCACCATTATCATCATTAATATTATTATTTTCGCTGTTGTCGTCTATGCTGCTCCTGCTTTTGTCATGAACGCGTGTTACACTAGAGATGAATGAGGGCGAGTCGCCTGCTGATGTGCACATAATGTACGACGTCAGCATGGTATCTGTATTCGTCTCTCTATCGACAATGTTTGATGCCTCACTCATTATTCCTGCGGTGCGCTCTTTATCACTGCCACTGCTGCTGCTGCTGCTGCTACACGGTGAAGTTGGGAGAGAGAACGTAGAGGCATTTGCCAACGATAACGCGGCGCTGCGTAGAATATCCTCCTGCACATCACAGGCCATAATGATGGCATCAAACACAATACGGTGTGGGGCACAGTCCGTGAAACTCAAGTCCAAAGAACCAAACAACCCTCGCGCGCTCATCGCAAGGGACTCGCAGAGATGTATCATCTCCCTCTGCAGTGAAACACGATGATCGTCACACTCGCCATTTTCATCAGGAAATCGTGGCAATTCCTGAAGCAGTTGCTGTCGCAGCTTCCAGAGACGATGGGACAGCAATGGTACCCGTACAGGAAGCGGCATACGTTCCAGTGATTCATTCACGCCGGTCGCCGGATTCATTTCCCATGCATCATCAATTGGAAATAAAGCAAAGATGGGGGAATGCACACCACCTGCAGCAAGTGTTGGGCACGCCGCAAGGTACAACAGCTCAGCAGCAGTAAGCGGTTGCCTGAGATGATCCATAAAGTGCAGTGGGGTACGCGTGTCGGAAAGAGCCGCGCAATTTACCAGCAACAGATTCCGAAGCCACATCGAAGACATTAAAAGAATCACGACGTGTGTTTCACCCTCACCTGCAGAGATGGAAGCATCTTCTTTAGTGGCATCATTGCCACCGCCACCACTGGCAGCACCACCAGGGTCTATGGCATTCGCTCCCGCAGTGAGTGGAGGCGAGAAAACTGTGATGACGCTACGACTTTTGTTATTTCTGGTGCGGCAGCTGTGGCTGTAAAGTCGTTCCAATGTGTGAAGAAGAAGATCTCTCGAGTCGGTCATACAGCCCTCCTCGGTAAGTCGCTTCGCCCGCAGCCACACCCGTAGCGTGAGCAAAAACATTTCCTGCCAGCACTCCAATGAATTCGATGGCTGTGGCTGCCGCTCGTCATGAAGACAACCGTCGCCCTCCTCCTCGCCGTGGTGATTCCCCCCGCTATGCGAAATCTCACAATAAACCAGATTGTAAGCGGCGCAAAGCAAAGACGGACATGTATGCAAGGACGTACCTTCCCCCCATACAGAGCTCACATAACGCTCATAACTATCACTATTGCTTTCAACTCTCACACGTTGAAGCCTTCCCTTCAGCTCTTCTCTAGCCGCAGGGTGTGATGTGTTTGTTATCGCGATAGACGAAAATACATATATGAAATGTAAAGATTGAAGCATAACCCACGAGAAGCGCGATTGGTTCTCTTCCCCAAATGGCAATAGTTGAAAGAGTTGTTCCGTGTGCTCCAACACGCCGTGATAATCTCGCATAAGCCATGCGTGGTATGCATCCACAAATAACTGAACGTTTTTGGTGTCTCTATGAGCCGTGCAGCGGGGGGAAAAACGCGTCATGTGGAGGCGCATGTTCTCCTCTTGTGGCAGTCGCCCTCCGGGTTCCATTCCATGAGCGTGTAAAGAAAATAATGCCGTTGAAGCAGCAAAATCGTTCGTCATGCTGCTTTCCACCATGGTCGAACCGGCACAAAGCAAAGGACCAAAAAAAAGCTGGACCCATCGGCTATCTGTCGTCTCTACCTGCCATGCTTGCGGACCACACTGCATGTAGGCCAAGTAATAAACCACGTACAGCAATTCGGCTGGCAACACGACATTCAACGTCGTGGTGCTGTGAGGAAGGACGCCTGCCAGTCTGTAAAGCAGCTGCAACATCTTCTCTTCGTCCCTCGTCGTATCGTCACCGCCCAAATCGTTCTTCGCATCATCACCGCGGCGGCAGGGGCGCCGTGTAGAGCGCAGTTGCCGCCAAAACCCCTCACTCACAGCGTCCACAACGTGCTCCAGCTCCCTCTTTGCCCTCAGTGCGTCGCTGTCATGCACCAAATATCGCAACGCCCGACGCACCCCGTCGAGAACATATCGTCCGGCCGTCCCCGTCATGCCGCCCGATGGCTCCGTGTCACCTCCCACCGCGCCGCATGCTCCCAATGGATCCTCCTCCCTTCCCTCCCCGTTGTCAACAAAGCAGCCGATAAATGCTGCGAGTAGAAGCAGCCATCCTTCTTCCTCCACTTCCGCACATGACGGGGTGTTCCCCGCATCCCCGGCCGTCCCACTCATTCCGGCTCACTCCCTTTCCCTCCCTGTTTGCCCCTTTTATGCCACCTTGAAAAAAAGAGCAAAAGAAGCAGTGGCATTTCAAATAGCACGAGTGAATAACAGGCAATAAACAACAACCATGCCCGTAAATACCCGCAGCGTATCCCACACCGTCGCAGAATAAATGGCAACTGGAAAAAGTGGTCCGTGCAAAAAAAAAAAAAGAAAAAAGAGCTCACGCACACAAACACACACGCATATATTACAAGCCAACGAGACATAAAACACGCAAAAAAAAAAAAAAAAACACAAAAACATCAATAAACGGGATAAACTGTTACACCTGCATATGCATGGCATATAAGTGCTTGCCTCTCGTTTTGCCTGTTTGCTTCCTCTTGCACATATATCCGCTGGTTTCATTTCTTCCGCGCCTACGTATGCATGTATGCATGTGTGTGTGTTTGTGTGCGTGGCTCCAATACACGGAAAATACAAATGGGGAAGAGGGTGGACAAAAAAAAAAAAAAAAAAAAAAAAAACCGACAACACCAACACACAAGTAATAATTATGGTCCTAACGCCAGCGACCGGAGCAAACAGACATGTATTCAGCCCCCACCCCCACCCCCTTTGTCCCCTCATCCATCCAACCCCACGTGCGCATACAATATATATATATATATATATACTATTTAGAGCCACGGCAGAGAATCAAACAAATCAAATACAAAAAAGAAAAAAAAAAAGAAAACTAAGACAAAAAGCCGTAAACAAATAAACACGCATG